AGATAGATAGATAGATAGATAGATAGATAGATAGATAGATAGATAGAGAGAGAGATAGGCAGGCAGGCAGGCAGGCAGGCAGGCAGGTGGATAGATATAGAGAAAGAGATGGAAATAAACAGATAGAGGCAGGTAGGCAGACAAGATAGACAGACAGGTAGATAGATGATAGAGATGGAAATAAAAAGGCAGGCAGACGGACAAGATAGATAGGATGGATGGATAGATAAATAAAGATAGATAAAATAGACAGGATACAGATGGATGGAGAGAGAGAGAAAGAGAATAGGAAAAAAAAATGGGAGCAACGTTGTAACCACAGAGTAAGGGCCTAATTTACCTTTGACTTACAACTGCCCCCAAACAAAACCCCGAAGTCCTTTCTTTAACACCCTCATTTTCTCACCCCTTCTGCTTTCTGCACGTTCCTCTGGTCTTTCTCCCCTATCGGGACCGGGGACTCCGAGTATCCTAGGCAGAAAGAGCTGCCTGGGAACATAGTTTTAAGACTCCGCGAAGGCTTGTTTCCCCTTTTCCTCCCGCTTCCTCCCTTCGTGGGCTACATCGCCTGCACCCCTGAGTAGCCTCCTTCAAACCCCCCCCGCCGCCCCCCCCCCCCCCCCCCCCCCCCCGGTCTTGTGCTTTCAGGCGTGACCATCCTTGCAGAGACGCTCCCTCGTAGGAATTCCTCCCTCTTGAAAGTGCAGCTTGGAAGCCTCTTCCTCCGGGATTTAGCGACCGAAGGAACCATATTCCCCGTCCTGGTCTTCCCGAATCCGGTACGTCGAACTCGGGGTCAAGCGTGATGAGGTTTTCCTGTTGATGTTCGCAAAGGGAAGGCCTCGATTTTACGTCTCGATTTTACGGGTTTTTTTTGCCTTGTCTGCCTCCCGAATCTGCTTCTCCAAAGTGCCTCTTTTCAGATGTTGTGGGATTACAGATAATCCTTAATTTACAAAAAAAAAAAAAACCCTTCCTTCTAGCACTGATGATGTTCCCTAGTTGGGTCATGAGATGTCTGCAAGAAAACCCCCAAGCTCAGAGAGCACCCAGGACCCCCACGGTCTTCCTCCTCCTCCTCCTCCTCCTCCTCCTCCTCCTCCTCCTCCTCCTCCTTTTAGCCCTGGTGATGTTACCTAGTTGGGTCATGAAATGTCTGCAGGAAAACCCCAAAGCTCAGAGAGCACCCAGGAACCCCACAGTTCAACCCTGAGCTGTGAATATTCTTGATTGATATATAAATATATAGTTTCTCTCTCTCTTTTTCTCTTCCTAGCTGAAAGAAGTCGGCTGTGCCTCGTCCGTTAGCCTCCTGACCTCATCTTCTGACACCAGCAACCAGAGCAGTGGTAATATTTTCCTTTCGGCAGCCCTTTGCCACTTGCGGTTTCAAACAATCCAGGCCCTTGTAAAGCGTGAACAGGAAGAGAGTCGCGTTTTAGTCTTCGTAGATTCGTCTTCGTAGATTTACATTTGTAGTTTGTGGGTTCTTGTGTCATTTTTCAACCTCTTTGAATCGGATCGATCCCATCTTCTTAGCTCATGGGATCTTAGAAAAAGCAAGCGAGGCGTAAATCCCACGTTCCAGAAGTTGATCTGGATATGTGGGTAGATTTTTAATTTTTCAGAGCAGCTAAAATTTATTCAGCAGACCCTCAATGGCATTTAAATTGGATGTCACCTGCCCAGTGATGCTGGAGACTTGTCTCTTCCGGTTTGTCCCATTTCTTTGAGTGACCTATGTGTTTGTTTTATTTTATTATTTTATTTTGTTTTTTGCATCTGTGAGTCCTGCTTTTTCCTTACTGTTTCCTCTTCTCTTTGCAGAAGATCCTGTCCCGGTGTTTGAAATGCTGTATGAGAAAAACCCAGCTCACAGCAATTTTGAGAGGCGGTTGGAAGTCAGCACTCAACCCCTTAATATTATTTACAACCCTCAAGCCATTAAGAAAGTAGTTGACTTTTTCTACAAAGGAAGAGTTCATTCCTCAGGTGAAGCTTCCTTAGTCGATTTCTTTTCCCATCTCTTTCATTTTTCCTTACGTTTTATAACTAGGTTATTTTCCACCCAGAGAACGAAGGTTGTTTTGGAAAGTTAAACCGTGGATTACGTGGGTATAAAGAAGCATTTGTCAAATTTCTCAGCATGAACGTTATGCTTTCGTTTCCATGCCTCCATTCTTCGGTTCTGACCTGATAATGTTGCACAAAACATGTGATTTAGAAGCCACCCTTTGCAGTCCAGTGGGTGAACCAACTTTGGATGTGGTTTAGCCTGATTCTAGAAGACAGGGCTTGTATGCAGAAAATAAAGATTTTTATTTAAGCTTCAGAAAAAACAAACTACGGTTGAAATTTTCCTAAGAATGAAATAGCCAAGTCACTGTTGCTTCCATGATTTGCTGTGGAAATTTTAAGGGCGGTGGGCTTGATTCTCCTTGTTTCCTTCCGTTGCTTCTTGGACCAGAGCCACTCAAGAACAATTGCCTTTTTGGGGGGTGACCTTTTAATGCAGGTTTCGGGTGTCAGTCTGAACTGGAGCTGAGAGTGGCCGAAGCTGCCCGAAGACAATACAACAGGCTCAAGATGCAGACCAAAGCTGAAATTCGCCAGACCATTGACCGACTGCTTGTTGGGGATTTTATTGTGAGTGGGCTTTTGTGTGTGTGTGTGTGTGTGTGTGAGAGAGAGAGAGAGAGAGAATTATAACATGGTTGCGTCTTCTCCTTGACCCCTCACAAAATCTCTGTTTGGGTTAAAAAGCACATTATTCCAACCTGTAGTATATTCAGATTTGGGGCTTAGCAAATTGTGGGGAAATCAACCGTTTTCATTTTATAAACCGTGATTTTAGGCTTACCGTGTTTCAGTAAACCATGGATTGTTCCAGGATTCTTTTACATCAAATGAGGGCAATTCAGTATAGCGGCGGTGTTATTAAAATCAACAATTCTGATTAAAGTTGGCGCCCTTGGTGCATCCTGTGAATTTGTTATCTAGGAAATAGACACGTTTGTTTGCTGGCAAACCTGTTTCTGGGTTGGCTTTTTATAGCTACGTTTCTAGGCGTGTGCTTTTAAATTTTGGATTGATATTCAGAGAATCATTTGGACCGTTTGAAAGAGAACCAAATTTTGCTTTTTTTTTCTTTTTTTTTAGGAAGAAAGCAGGCACTGGTCAATCTGCCTTGATATCTCTGCCCCTCAGGTGATCTTCCCGGACGACTTCAAATTTTCAGACCCTGTTTTAGTCGTGATTGATTTGGGCAGAATGCTGCTCACTAATTCTCAAGGTGGGAGCTCCTAACTTATTTCTGAGTTTCTCTAGAAAGAGTTTACCATCAAAGACTCTCTGCAGAACACGACGACTCGCCATGGCCAACTTTGCTGCAGGATCAACTGGCCACGAGACCATTCAGCAATTCAATTCAATTATTTAGAATAGTGGAAACATTATTTCAGGTGTTGTCACTGACATTTCATTCTTCCTCTCCATTGGCATCCTTTCCTTCAAGATTCTAGTCCACCTTTTCTTCGATGTTAGTGTAACTCTTGTCCCGCAGTGAGTCTGGCGTGGTGAGTTGGCTGCGATGAATTGGCCATGGCAAGCTGGCCATGGTGACTTGGCCATAGTGAGCTGACCATGGCGAGTAGACCATGGAAACTTGGCCATGGCGAGTTGCCCATGATGAATTGGCCATGGGAAGTTGGCCGTAGCGAGTTGGCCATGGTGAGTTGGGCATTGCAAGTTGACCATGGTGAGTTGGCCATGGTGAGTTGGGCATTGCAAGTTGACCCTGGTGAGTTGGCCATGGTGAGTTGGGCATTGCAAGTTGACCATGGCAAGTTGACCATGGTGAGTTGGCCATGAAGAATTGGGCATTGCAAGTTGACCATGGTGAGTTGGCCATGATGAATTGGGCATTGCAAGTTG